CTTGCTTTTTCAGGCAGCCCAGGACAGTTGGTAGGAACACCTGCCACGGGCACTTTTTTCTGAATTTGATTTGGGGGATCAGCAACAAGAGCAATATTGTACTTTTTCCTTCACCTCTGTATCCTGCTCAATGCATATGGTTGTTCAGGACACCAGTGGTGTTACTCTAGGGAAGAAAAATGCCTCACCCCAGCTTCTCCTAAAATATTTAAAGGTTTTGGAGACTGAGCAATAACCTCAATGTCACAGAGATCCTGACTCCCATATGGAATCCCATGCAGCTCTAGCACAAATGGGTATTTGAAAGGGGTCTCTCACAGCCAGGTACAAAGTGACAAACCTAGGCCTGACCTGACAAAATGTACATATGAAGAAGAACAGGATAATCAATCTTCTTGCCAAGCACAAAGTGAGGGAGCCACTGCTGCTAATATAAAAGCAGTATCTCCAAATGACAATTGTGAGTAGAAAACAGCAGGCTGTATCACCTCCACCATGGGGCTGATTCATGCACACACATGGTGGGAGAAAGAACAAGAACCAGTATATGGTGCATAAAGTTTAGAGGAGGAGAAAAAAGCCTCCTAAAACCACATGGGACAGATGCCTGGCAAGAATTAACATCAAATCTCACTGAGGGGCATTAGCCTACTGCACAGCTCTTGTGGTAACACCTTGTTTGATTCACAACACATAAAAATAGTAGTTCAGTAGTAATTCCCCTTTGGACTGGACTCCGATCCCAAGTTAACTCAGGAACCATGACCTCTTTTTGTACATTTCAGAAATCCTCAAGGAATTTTGAACATGGGCCTGCAGTGCCTGAACTGCAGACTACACACAAGTGGAATTTTTAGTGAATTGACAACTGCACACCAGCTCCATTTGAGGCTACAGCAAAAAGGTGAAGAGACTGTATTTACTTTTGCTAGTCAGAAAGTTGAACAAAGAGGGGAAAGGCTGTGCAAGACATTACGCTACAGTGTGCACTGGTGGTGGTTGTTTGTCTCAGTGCAGTTCATCTCCAAAAAAATAGCCGTGGAGGATAAAGTAAGTGCTATTCTTCAGTTTCTCTAGATTGCTGACAAACATTAGACTCGTCTCCAATGTTGATGGAATAGAGAAGAGAAAATACAGTGCACTGCCTCCCAAAAACAGACATAAACTTTGGTTCTCTCTGAAGGAACTCTGAGAAGAGATGGAGGACGAATGTGGACTGGCAGCCTTTTCCAGCTCTGTGCAGCCACACATTAGAAGTCAGGAACGACATAGCTCACCTAAGCTCTGAGGGGTACTTTGAAACTCATGAGGGAAGGGAGTAGTGCAGGGGAAAAATTACCCTGCACAGTGGCTTTGCAGACCCAAAAAGATCATAGTCAGGACTCACTTGCTGGAGGCTTTGACTTGGTAAGGAGAGAATCAAAATCTTCTAAGGATAGTGGGATTTAGCCCATTGCAAATGGTGGCATTTATAATGGAGCACTGCATCACTATACGCGTGCTACAGACATAGCATGCCTTTCATGATGTCCTATTATAATACTTTGTATTAAGATTTTTATACAGTAGATCCTTAATTCAAGTAATCATATTTCCCATATAGTGAGAAACAATCTGCATTGACCACACCTAACAATCCAATGTCTGAGTGTTTTTTCCATAATCCTTTACCACTATCTTTTGTTTTAAGGCACTGCCATATATATTGCCATATACACATATATATATGTTTATGTATATATAAAAATAAAGGAACTCTCTTTCTCTAGTAGAAGAAAACATAAGCCCAAAATGAGCAAAATGTTCATGTGACATTCGTTTCCTCAGGCACTGAAGCAATGCATGGTCAAGAAGGAGAGAACCTAGTTAACTAGTTGCTAAAACTATCTTGAGTCCCTACCCGTGAACTCCAAAAATACTATTGCTCACACAGCACTAGAGGATTAATATGCAAAGCGATACTAAAATGGTATTAAAACTTTTACATCTTCCATCCACACAAATTAGTCCCCTCCCGTCCCTCCACAGCTTCCCGCCTCAAATATCCTGGCATAAAATGATCAGACAAAATAGGTGACTTATGTTTTTATTGGTTCCTTCAGACTATGACGACATTTCCTAAAACGCAGAGCCAGGAAACCATTAATGATTGAAAAAGTGGAAAGGGTCAGGTTATTTCAAAGGGCATGTGTTTGCTAAGAAGCCTTTGTTACAGACCTACAGGCCGCTTAAGATTAAATTAATAGTAACAAAAACATTTAACATTCACATTGTATTTCTCGCTTTAAATATGTTAGGAACACATTTGTAAAACAACACTTCTGTGCGGTAAGAAATAAATACCCCATTTTTACCTTATTCAGAATTAAAACCGGAAGATTTTACCTCAGATTTTATAAAGCAGTAAATCCTCTCCAAGATCAGAAGATCTCCTCAGGTTTGTACACTCCCTCAATCTCAGGTTGTTACTTGAGGAAGAAAAGGAAACACTCTTAAGCTTATCAACATTACAAAAAGGAAGAAGAGGTGGATTTTCTTGATGTAGCTCAGCTGTGCTGGCCTGCATTTGGCAGTATGAAGCAGCTCAGGCATTTGCAGGTGTGGTCATAGATGCCTTAAAGCTCTGCGGGCTCCGTTTACAAGCACAATACCAAAGCAATTGGTACGTGAACAGGAGCATACACCAGTATGTACAGGACAGAAAGAAGGATCCTACAGCAGCTCTAAAGACCATTTTTTTCAGGCATGTACTATACATACATACCTCTTTCCCTGAAATGGGGGTGCAAAGCAAATTTCAAACCAACTGAGCGCTTTGGCCTCCTAAGAGAAGTACAGGACATTGTGCTGACACCAAGTCAAGAACCCTGCTTATTTGTCGCATCTCAAAGCACCATCACCCTACCAACAGCACCACATCACAGGTAAAAATCCCACTATTGCACAGCGCCATCTCCTGGGCAAGCAAGATTGAGGAAACTCTCGCCTCCCCTCTCTCTCACAGCATCCAATGTTTCCACGTCTCCTTCACCTCTGCTCCCAAAACACAAGCAATGAATTCCCGAGAAGAAAAGCAGGTTGTTTACAGCTCCCACCGTGAAACGTGAGACTCAACTGGTTGCTATGGACAGAGGCAGTATGTGCACAGGCAAGCACCGTGTGAACCCATGGGAATAAGTTTGGTCTGGGTTGCTGGCTAATCACAAATTAGCAATTAGGGCTTCCTTTCAACATCCAAACAGGAAATGGGAGTGGAGGAAGTGAAAGCTTAATAATTTCTTGTATGCTAAGAAGTTACACGAGCCATTCCAAGAAAAAAAATGTTCTTAAGTGAACTTCAGCCTAGCACATTGTCTGCAGGCAAGCATTTATCTTCAAAACCAGCCTGTGCATCTTGGTAAGAAAGCACTGATGTAAGCATTTCATTCATTACAGCTTAATTTTCAGGAGAATAGAACATCAAGCTATAGAACAAAGTTGAAGACCCAACCGCAGCGCAATCACAAGCATTGAGGTTATGATACTCAAACCAAGTCATTAAGCCTGACATCATTATAGGAAATGTTCAGTGAAGAACCAGGTTAGAAGGGCTAACTTTTTATTTAGATCCACAACAGCCTCTGACCAAGGAGCAAGAAAATAGACAATGTGTTAGGTCCATTTCTTTCCACTATATTTTAGGGCTACTGTTCATACCAGCCATGTACATGTTACAATGCCTACCTGGTCACACAGAAGAAAAGCCAGGGAAGAAAGTCCCTAATGGGAATCCTAAGAGGACTGGAGGAGGAAAGGACTCTCAGGCACCTGTGTTGAATGAAGTGAGGAACATTCCTCTCCACCTTCAGAACTATAAGATCACAGCCCCTGGCAAAAGCAAAAAGCCCAACCCATTACACACTCCTAACTTGGTGCTACCTTCACTGAAGGAGAAAGAAAGAAGCTTTACACAGCTGTTGAGCAATACTCAAGAGCTCGAGATAGATTAAAGACCAATCTCTTGGTTGCCTGGAGATATCAAAGACAGAGTACAGACAAAGAAAAAAGATGACATATGGGTGGATACAGACAGACGTTCTGCAGGAAAAAAGCATTCTGGGAATACAACACCTCATTTTTCAGGGATCTTTTACAAACAAACAAACAAACAAACTTGAAAATTGTAAGACTCACCTATATAGAAAACGATCACTTAAGTAGGCTGCATGGAGAACAGAACAAAGGCAAAAGAATAAACACTCCCACCACATTCTGTCAAAATATCTACTGTTTAATCTCATTATCCCTCATAGCACAAACAAAAACAGATGCACAACATAGTTACTATGGCCCATAATAAACTGGCTGGAGAAAAAAAGGAGCAATGGGTGCATGCTATCCTTTACAGAGAGTACTGATATTTTTTCCCCTATTTTTAGCAGTACAGACACAGCAACCCCAATGCCAATACAGCATTTACAATAAACTTTTATCTGTCATAAAATTCCTCAGGGTACTTTCTATACTATGCATGTGGTTGGATGTATAGACCTTACTGTGGACTCTCATGTTGCTGCTCTGAGACATGGAAAAAGGGGAAAAATGTCTATTTTATGTGCGAACTTCCATCCTAGATCCTCCAGGATCAGTTTTAACAGCAGGCATTCCCTGTTTCCAAGCAACCGGAGGCAGATTTATGTATTTGATCAGCCTAGGTTTTGGATCAACCATTTGCAAAAACTTTCCAGAACAACAGTTTTGAAAGCTGAAAAACAATAATTGCGTAAGACTGCTGGGTTTATTTGTTTGTTTGCTTTTCTTTTAGATTTAATCATAGGTAGGTATTATCTCTTTCACTGGAAACACCCACACCTTTTCCCGAAGGTAGCACAATATCTACTGTGTTCAAGCTGCTTTTTACTCTTTTTTGTCTGTTTGTTCTCCTTTTTGATTTTATTTTTTTTAATCTAGGTATTTACTTTTATGGAGTCACTTCTTACCTTGTTCACTTTCTCATCTAGGATGCTTGTAGTTCCGGGCAGCAGTGCTACTTCCCACAGTGTGAGAAAGACCATGGCAACTTGGCAGGACTGCTACCTGCTCAGTTCCCAAAATGAAGACATCTGCCAGAACGTTCAGGTTTCCAGCCTGTGATGCTCCAGCAGGTTAGTTAACCTTCACTTAACTGCTGTAATACCAGATGTTTTTCTTTAAGCTAGAGATTTGCAATATTGCTTCCCTCTCCTCCCAGAGAGCATAGAGAGAGTTTCTAAATGAGGTTACTTTGGTAAGGAGTACTGAAGAGTTCCTACTTGTTTAGCAGCTATGACAGTACCAACAATTCACTGCCAACAGCAGAGGAGGAATGTACTTGACAACTCTTGGTGAGAGACAGATTATGATCCATGTCTCCTTGCCCTACATTCACAGAATGTCCAAGCTCATATCTTCCATTCATTTAAGGAACACATACTTGTGACCGGTTTCTCTGGACCAAACACCAGGTACCTGTTAAATAATATTAGGAATGATTTCACCATGAGATGTTTGTACTGGATCTCACCCAAGAACTTTTTATATGTTACATACATTACTGTTTTGCTGCAATTGCTGTTTCAAAGCAAAGCAAAAACTTTGACAGATATATGCATGAGATCATCTAGATGAGGAGACTGTATGTTTGGAGAGGTGTGGTAATGCTCGACAAAACAGATTATCTTTTTCAGTCTGTCTTCCAAAATAAAGATTTTCTTGGATGATTATTTAACATAGGGGTTCCCAGAGTTTTGTCCACAGAGGGCAACTTAATAGGTGAAACATCAGGCTAGGGGCTTCATAAGAAAAATCAATCTGTAGGACAGTGCAAACAGCCACAATATGAAAATCCCTATGAGGGTCATATTTGGAAACCTCCCAGGTCAGCCTCCTGAAAGCCCCAACTCAGATGCTGAATTCTTGTGAGAAATGTAACTGATTCTTGTGAGTTTTTTTTCCCTCTTCAAAGATACATTTCTATAGTTTTTTAGTTTATTTGTTTTCGGTGTTTGGATGTATTGATGACTGCTGGTATCTGTTACACAAAGAGAATATTGACAAAGCAAGAGCAGACATGCTAGCCTTTCAATTTATACCATGCTTCTAAAAGCTAGTAAGTTCAAAACAAACAGTAGTCCTTATTGGAAAAGCCTCCAGCTTTAGAAGCAGCTCACATTGTATCTGGGCAGTGGTGGAAGAACAGGGCTCTTACTACTTAATCTTCAGTAGAGTTTAAATTTCTTTCATAGTCTGTCAGTTTAAGGAAATAATGATGTAATGATAACTTTTGGTGTTCTCTAGAATACCACTCTCATTATGGTCTCATTGAGATACTTGCATTACATGCCACAAACACAGAGGAAAGATTTCTGCCCTACATTATATCTGCACTGAAGCCTAGAGAGAGCAACAACTGCTGAGATATACTCCTATAAAAGATATAAAGAATTACTCACTTCTCTTCAAGTTGAGGTGGCAATTGTAAACTACATCTAGGATTTGAGCACACTTCTATACCCATCAGATGACCATTCAGTCATGAAACAGTAGGTTAAATATGATTTTAGGCTATATTGGTTTGTAGTACAAGCGCTCCTCCATGCTTCTATTTTTATTCCCATTTGCATGCAGATTCACAAAATGAAAGGCTTTAGAATCTTGTTTTCTGATTTGTAGCATTGGCAAAAAGGCTTGCTCCACTTATTAACAAGGGTGCAGCTTACTCAACTTTAGGTAAACTAACAGAAAACACCCACTCTAGTCCTTAAGTATAAGTAGGTATAACTGAGCATTCCCATTCCACCTACAGAAACCACCTGAAGTAAAAACTAAGTCTTTCTCAGCAAACGTTTTTTGGACTTCTGGTTCAGATGTTTTGAGGGGAAAAGCCATCAGTGAAACGAAGAAGCAAACAGATAAAAATCTTTGGAATATCCTCACATTACTCTGCTACACTGGGAAACCTGGTGCCAGCCCCATGTTCCCCTGAGATGCTGGGGACTCCATCAGAGCATGAGTTCTAAGCAAAAAATCCTTTTGTCTCTGCTATTCTGGCAGATTCTGCTACTCTATCAATGGCCATCTCAAGTTATAAGCAGGAAAACATGTGTTGGGTCATGTACTCCTGTCATGCTGGATCACAAGGCAGTGCCTGAGTCAGGAAGAGTGGATGATAATGAGCACAGTGGTATGGTTGGAGCACTCTTTTTAAAAGGGCTTCTTTCAGCAGCAGGCATAACTGGCTGGCAGATATCTGGCTCAAGTGGAGCATCTTCTGCTTTGCTCCCTGATCCCACAAGAGCTGTGGATAGTCAAGAAACCAAGGCTCATTTTCCCTCAAGTACCTGCCATGTCTCCTTACTGAGGAGAGGAAAAGCAGCTGCCTTTGCTGCAACATGACAGAAATCCAGGCCAAAGCCTCTTGTGATAGCCTCATGTTTACTGCATGCAGTCTGACAGGTCTGGTCACAGACTTGAGATCTCTCAGAAAGGTGATGCTCAGCTTTCAGAAATTGAAATATAGCACAGAGTGGCACAAATGTGACAAACAGTACACCACGCAGCAAGTTTTCAATGCAGCAACCAGCTGTGGAGTCTAGATTTGATGTGCAGTCTGTTTAAGAAATCCAGCCTCGCTGTTTCCCGTGTTTTATCTCCTTCTGATCACGAGTGTAACAATCCAGTCAGTCCATTGTTCTTACCACATGGTAAGTAACTAACTACATGTAAACAAAACAATTAAGCTCCATAAGGAACTGCTTGCCATTCAAAGCTGAACTAAACATTGCATTTTGTTTCTGGAATCCAAATATGGTAAATTGGCTGATAGTTAATTGTGGCAATAGGACTTATTTGCTTCACAGAACAGCTAAGTGCAAGAGGCAGCACAAACTGGAAAATTACCTTCTTTCTTTTTATGGATACAACAGAGATAAACTACCATAGCTGGACTCCCAACACCTTCCTTCACTTGTAAAAGCACCAGGCTCCACTACCACCACTCAAGGAGAATACCTCTGAGCTGTTAACCTCTTAAACTTTTGACAACCCTGGCATTCTGACAACGTGTTAGGGGATAGCACTGCACACAGCTACTCACCAACTCATCATTTTCTTATTAGCTGTATCACTGTTGCATCTAAAAGCCCTAATCAAAATCAGACCATCCACTTGCTGGGCAGAACTTGTGAGGGAAAAATGAGTCCTCTCTCCGTTGTACACAAGCCCAGAAGCCTGGGTCCTGTAAAACCAAACCCCACATACCTCAACTCAAAAAACTCAACACCTCCACTGCTATCCAATGTACATGTTTAATTTTGCAGGCTGAATATTCCTACCTGAAATGTTTATGTAACACAGGAGTTTTGAATATACAAACAAATAAACAAACACCAAACTAACCTCACAAAGGAAATATTATTAAATCAATTGCTAGGGGAGTTAATAATAACAGAAGTAGAAATGTGTTCTGTTATGGCACTCACTGGAAAGGCTACTTTTATAACTTAAATATGCACGCTTTGCTCCTTGGCAAAGATTTAGCAGTTATCCACTATCACAAGTCTGTACACTTCTGTATCTATCACTGATGGACAGGAGCAACTGCACTGACGCAGGCCTAAAGCTCGAGGAGGAAAAACAGGACTGAGATAAGAAAGCACATAACAAGGTGGGTGCTAAACCCTGGGGCTGAACAGTCACAGGACACCAAGAGAAAAGAAAGAATCTGGAAGCTTCCAGGGTAAGTTAATAATTTTCATAGTGGAAATCTGTGAGTTAAAGTCACAGTCATGGTGGATCTTACCATCTATGTAAATCATGCTTTCCCAGCCAACTTTGTGAAGTGGTATCTAAGCCTCAAAACATCCCAGCTTTCTGCTGAAGTTAACAGATAAGCTGTAAGTGCGACACACAGCTAGACAAAGGTTATAAAAACAAATCCTGGTCTATTTATTGTGATGCCACAAAATGTATGTTTCTATCTGTGATGAAGGATGAAACATGTTGTTTTGTGCAACAGTTGGGCAAGGTCTGTACATGGAGAGTGAAACAGTCATGGGGGTCTTATCCAGTGGTCATATAGCAGTGTGAGTGGGACACAGGTTATGCAGACATCCTCCCTGCTATATTAACAGAAGCACCACCTGCATGAAAAACAGAAGCAGAACAACTTTTTATGGTTGGTTTTTCTAAATCTTGAATGTTAGACTTGGGAAAGGAAGAAGGAACAAGAGAAAAAGGATAAAAGAGATTTCAGCTTCTTCCTGAACTTCACCCTGCATTGCAAATATTGCTGGCCATCAGATAATTTCCACCTACTTTCTGTATTCCTTGCAAATATTTGTGGGCTGCCATATACACTGGAGGATCAGTGAGCATCCTAAATACGAGGCAACAGAGTCTGGAACACACAAACAGTTTTTATCCGGGAGAAGTACATATGTAGCACTGCTTCTCTGTCCCTCATGTTTTCACTTGTTTCCCTCTGAAGTGAAATCTTCATCGAGAAGAGACAAAAAGGCTGACACCTTCTTATAAGGGAATATATAAGGACATATTTTAGAGCTGGGTATGGTGGAAGGGATCTAGTCCTGGAATAGGGCTTCTTTGGAGGCACCCGAGGACCTGAAGAGTTTGACTCATACCACGGCAAGGTCAAGTTAACATTGAAGAGGAGGAATGCTCTGAGGGTTGGACTCCAAAGCAAAGAAGAGAACTGGATGAGACAGGGATAGTAGTTATTTTCTAACTTCAGGGAAACTTGTGTCTACAGAAGGGCCTCCCCTCTTGCAGGCAAGACAGGGACAACAGGTCTGGTCTCCAATTTTCTTTTAAGGCATCTTTGCATGATTTGAAATTCTGATTGTGAAGCAACTGAGGTTGGAAAGGGAAAGGAATAGTTTCAGCTCCTTGTGAAGAGGAGAGAGAAGTTTTCTTCAAGAGGGCACAACTACTTTTAGGAGGCTCTACTTGTCCTTCAGACAAATTTACTACCACTCTTTTAAAACACAATGTTTCAGAAAAAGCTACTCCAAGAGTCTAGGTGGATGGCATTCAGAATGCATTTTCCAAAAGGTGCAAATGTTTTATAGCCTTATTCTTTATGCACAATTATTCTTTATTTCTCTGC